GTTTGCGGTGGCACCGTCTGTTACTGACAAAGTCAATTTTTTTTTTGTTTTTTTTTGTTTATTGTTTTGTATACGTGTGTGCATATCATGTACACACCATCACTTGCACACACGCACACACACACACACACACACACACACACACACACACACACACATACACACCTATATATTGCAATAATATAGTTTCATAAAACTAGAGTTTGTAACAAAGTCATTACCCCTACCCCCATTTAGTGTTGTGCTGTTTGCACGACAAGACCCCTTGTGGCCTTCACCTTTATGGTTAAAACTTGTCCATAGTGCTTAACAAGCACTTATATCCACCCTAGGTCCCTGCTCTTGTTTCCCACGGTACTAGACATCATGTGACTCTCCCCGTCCTGCACAAAACAATTAGTTTACATAGTTAAAATTCCAATGACCCGGCGAGCTAAGGTCGCTGCAGAATCTGAAAAACAACGAGGGATAGGAGCCCCCTGGGAGCAGGCTAGTAACCCCTTTATAAGCGATCGCCCGGGACCCTCGGACAGAGAGACAAGGGACAATACACAGACGGAGGCAGGCCAGAGGATAGAAGGAGACAGGCCAGAGAAGAAGACGGAGATAAACAGAGGTAGAAGAAAGAGATAGGGACAGAGATAGATAGTAGAACGAAGTACCGATCAGTTAAACAGGGAAGGAAGGTTCATTAGAAAGAGTAGATAAATAGATAGACAAAATTACAGATGTACAGTATCAGAATTACCGTTAGAAGTCGTGGCCCATTCCAGGAAGTTACCATTGTTTGTAAACGTTGAGACGGACTAGTTCGTGTATACCGCTTTGTAGTAAGAGAGTTTGACATTTTTAACCACCCTAACCACTCATGGGTCCAGTCGGATTCAGGCCTAGACACTGATTCGGGGTCAGGTACTGACTCGGAGACAGAAGAAGAAGAGGCCGGAGCACAGTAGACTAGAAGAACTACATATAGGCCAGACTTCCTGAAAATCTCCAAATGAATTTTATAAGTAGAAGATAAAACCTGTTGACCAACCTACACTAGGAGCCCGGTGGCAGTTAGAGACAATAGAACCAGTTAACAAAGTAAATAAAGAAGAAGAACACAACGCGATTCTACGAGTACTTAGCCACAGAGATAATTCAGTGTTATTCAGAATATCATTTGAAGTATTTTGTGACCTTTGTTGGAGTATCATAATAAAGAAAGTATAGACAAGAATAGTTGTTTCCAGACACTTTATTATACAAGTAGAGTCACGTGAGAAGCATGCAGCGAGCAAGTAGTAAAAGTAAAAGTAAAGATCCCTTTTCACGCCTTTTGGCGCATCGGGCATATGGGCAGAGCGTCCCATATTTTTACAGACCATCAGCACTCTGTGGGTAATGTGGTCAACATTACGCCGGCTGTCTTTTCTTTCCCAGGACAGCCCATCCTGGTACCCATTTTAGGCTGGGTCGACCTGCGATGTCCCATACCACGATAAAAATCCGCGCAGCCTGCAGTGGGTTTCGATCGCGGTATGCTGGCTTACGAGTCGGACTCGCAACGCCTTAGCCACAGACGCCGCAGCGAGCAAGACATCATCATCATTACCACTAACGACACGACCATCTTTCTCCTCGTCTATAAACATCACCAGCCAGCCTTGTGACAAATATAAACGAACCTGGGACAGTAAAAGAGGCAGCTGTGTCACAAGTTCACTATTTGTGAAACGCAGTGGTGTTGTAGTAGACGCTTGACTCCCGTCCGAAGGTCGTAGTTAAATGGGTACCAAGAAGATATCACATCTGCCGTTGAGGAGGACGGTATTGAAAGGGCACAACGTGATCTTGCTAAGCTACTGATCTTGTCCTCTCTATCTGTTTTCTCCGAGAATTATACTCAAGGAAGCCGCTATGGTGTAGCAGCTAGTCACTCGCCTTAGGATTGGAAGGTCGTGAGTCTGGCACCCAGGGAAGCTGGACTTTGTCCAAAATGACCTTGGCTTCCACGTGGACCCAGTCTCAAGTGGGTACCAGGTGTAATCCTTTGAGGTAAAGGCGGCCTGCATGATGTTGACCGCATTAGACACCAAGTGTCGATCGGTCTGTAAAATATAGGTCTAGCTATAAATGCCCAATATGCCTAAAGGCCTAGAAGGGGGTACTTTGATTTACTGTACCCAATACGATCATGATGTAAACAACAACGTTTGACTCACAAACGTTTCTGACTTTCGGTGACGACATTCCCCTCTCTTCCCTCCCCCATCACACACAGTGGCTGGGATTTCCTGTGTAAACCGGTTGTCCATGGTTAAAAATAAGTCATCTTTCCCAGAAAAATAGGGAGTAGACGTGAATATATATATATATTTATATACATACATACATACACACATACGCATACATACATACACAACTGGCCTGCTTGTGTTGTGGGAAAGTCCAGCCCGTCACAGGGAAAGTACCAGTTGACAACTATGAGGTAACCAGTTACTTTTTTAAATGTGTGTCGTTTTGTAACCCTCCCAGATACAATTTTTGTGGCGGCTTTATCTTAATAATTTGGGTTGTTTTACTAGCCGGTGCAGATAAACAGTTTATGACGTTTGTATCTCACCGGTACGTCTTGTTTTATCAGCCGGTGCAGATAAACAGTTTAAGACGTTTGTATATTAATAATATGTGTTGTTTTATCAGCCGATGCAGACTAACTGTTTTTGACTTGTGTATCTTAAAGCCGGTTAGAGGCTTACGAATTTAAAAAAAAAATACCAATGCTGGGCAGATTTTAATATTACAGTTAGATCCTCTACCTTCAGTTTTTCTATACTAGTAATACTTTTAAAGATATAAAGTTATAAAATTAGGGCTTAAACGGCCAGCAAAATATCAGATTAAAACACTCATTACTCAACCTACGTCTGGTATTTCTGAAAATAAATATTGGGGTAACTACTGTTGTTATTCTAAAGCTGTGTGGCAAAGTTTAGTAATGTATCTCAAATAGTCTGGAAAACATTGTCTAAATACCAGTTACACGCACTAAATTTTGGCAAAGTTGTACGATATTGTTAAAACAAAACGACTGCACTAACTAGGTTTGAGTTAGCTAATGGCATCCAAAGAAGTATATCGCTCCTCACGCATGGACCTGTGTCTCATCCAAAGAGAGACTACTACTCCTCCTAACTATTATAACTACATTTGAGAGATCTTTAGCTTGCCATGCTCCGGGTCATGCGCCTTGCGTTGGTTTCGACAGTGGTATCAGGGGGCCGACCGTCCAAAGCAATCACAAACTACTAGACGTAAATTTGCCTAGAGAAACCACACAACAGCCAGGGGCTGCTGGTGTTGGTTCTGCAACGTTCTGTAAAGAATACGCAACTAACCTTTAACTTGCCGCTAAACACTTTTTTTCCAATTAATTTCTTTAATGCTGCACACATCCTGACCCAGAAACCAATCCATAGCAAACTCGGTCAAGCGCGAGATCTCGTGGTCTTTCTCGCGGTCTACGGTATGTTCTAGGGGTGTTATATGTTTTGGTTTTGATGTTTTGAAGCACATCCACCACCCACGACAGCCCCTGCAAACATGCATAAAAATTAAAATATTTCAATGACTCGATAGTCGCAAACCGTCGGACCTTCGGCGCTTCACACTGCATACTTCTTTCACGTACAAAGCGTCTGGGACGGCTCTCGTCTGTGATGGCTCTACTCATAACAACAACACATTCCAGAAACAATACTCGTTCACACAAAAGACAGTAGCGAAAACACAGCTGGACAGTTGCATCTGGGAGACAGTCTTTGACCTTGTCGAACAAACGTTAGCCACATTTCGCCACGCTGTGTCAAGCCAACAGAGCCTTCTGATAACACCCCTAGAAGATAGCACAACCTGTGAGAACGGCCATAAGATCTGGCGCGTGAGCGAAATGTGGGGACTTGCGTGATTAGTACTATAGTTTCTATTCGGGGGTAGTAGGCGTGGCATTACCAGGTTCTGAAATTACTGAAACATTCCCCCTTCCCTACCCCCCCCCCCCCCCCCCCTCTCCGACATAAGAAATTCCAACAATATATAAATGAGACATGGATAATAAGCAGGATGTCCAGAAAAACTCACAGTGGAGGTGTGATTCTTGAGTAGAAGGCTAGAAATACCATCGAATAATAGAAAAGAAAAACGAACGAGGTCGTCATTTCTCAGACAAATGAAACCATAAACTGAATAGAGAGAATTCACATCGATAGTCACTGAGTGTAAGAAAGATGGCAACATTTCCATATAGCTCATTTACTCTGGAACAAATACAGCTTCCAACAACCGGCAACATTGGAACGCCTCCTGAATTCCAGTAAACATTCTGCCAGTTTATTTGTCCTATTCCATCACAATTACTCAACCACAATCATCGCTGTTCACTTCCACAAATATGCCACAATAATCATTTACTCAACGTTAACTACGCTGTATTCGAACAACATTGACGACATCAGACTGTCTTCTTCTAACTCTGGTACACAACTGACCACAAGTCAAACACGTACTTTCCCTCGTTTACATTTCCAGCCCCAAGTATCTCGTGCGGTCGTTTGTGGCACGGATTTTCTGCTCGGCTTGCTGTGAGCGTGGAGACCATGCTAAGCAGGGTCATCACACTGTGTGTTCGACACGCTGTGAGAAGGAATTGTCTCGAGTGTGTTCGACACGCTGTGAGAAGGAATTGTCTCGAGTGTGTTCGACACGCTGTGAGAAGGAATTGTCTCGAGTGTGTTCGACATGCTGTGAGAAGGAATTGTCTTGAGTGTTTTGAACATGCTGTGAGAAGGAATTGTCTCGAGTGTGTTGGACATGCTGTGAGAAGGAATTGTCTCGAGTGTGTTCGACATGCTGTGAGAAGGAATTTCTCGAGTGTGTTCGACATGCTGTGAGAAGGAATTGTCTCGAGTGTGTTGGACATGCTGTGAGAAGGAATTGTCTCGAGTGTGTTGGACATGCTGTGAGAAGGAATTGTCTCGAGTGTGTTGGACATGCTGTGAGAAGGAATTGTCTCGAGTGTGTTGGACATGCTGTGAGAAGGAATTGTCTCGAGTGTGTTGGACATGCTGTGAGAAGGAATTGTCTCGAGTGTGTTGGACATGCTGTGAGAAGGAATTGTCTTGAGTGTGTTGGACATGCTGTGAGAAGGAATTGTCTCGAGTGTGTTGGACATGCTGTGAGAAGGAATTGTCTCGAGTGTGTTGGACATGCTGTGAGAAGGAATTGTCTCGAGTGTGTTGGACATGCTGTGAGAAGGAATTGTCTCGAGTGTGTTGGACATGCTGTGAGAAGGAATTGTCTCGAGTGTGTTGGACATGCTGTGAAAAGGAATTGTCTCGTGTGTGTTCGACATGCTGTGAGAAGGAATTGTCTCGAGTATTTTGGACATGCTGTGAGAAGGAATTGTCTTGAGTGTTTTGGACATGCTGTGAGAAGGAATTGTCTCGAGTGTGTTGGACATGCTGTGAGAAGGAATTGTCTCGAGTGTTTTGGACATGCTGTGAGAAGGAATTGTCTCGAGTCTTTTGGACATGCTGTGAGAAGGAATTGTCTCGAATCTTTTGGACATGCTGTGAGAAGGAATTGTCTCGAGTGTTTTGGACATGCTGTGAGAAGGAATTGTCTCGAGTGTTTTGGACATGCTGTGAGAAGGAATTGTCTCGAGTGTGTTGGACATGCTGTGAGAAGGAATTGTCTCGAGTCTTTTGGACATGCTGTGAGAAGGAATTGTCTCGAGCCTTTTGGATATGCTGTGAGAAGGAATTGTCTTGAGTGTGTTGGACATGCTGTGAGAAGGAATTGTCTTGAGTGTTTTGGACATGCTGTGAGAAGGAATTGTCTCGAGTGTGTTGGACATGCTGTGAGAAGGAATTGTCTCGAGTGTTTTGGATATGCTGTGAGAAGGAATTGTCTTGAGTGTGTTGGACATGCTGTGAGAAGGAATTGTCTTGAGTGTTTTCGACATGCTGTGAGAAGGAATTGTCTCGAGTGTGTTGGACATGCTGTGAGAAGGAATTGTCTCGAGTGTTTTGGATATGCTGTGAGAAGGAATTGTCTTGAGTGTGTTGGACATGCTGTGAGAAGGAATTGTCTCGAGTGTTTTGGACATGCTGTGAGAAGGAATTGTCTTGAGTGTGTTGGACATGCTGTGAGAAGGAATTGTCTCGAGTGTTTCGGACATGCTGTGAGAAGGAATTGTCTCGAGTGTGTTAGACATGCTGTGAGAAGGAATTGTCTCGAGTCTTTTGGACATGCTGTGAGAAGGAATTGTCTCGAGTCTTTTGGATATGCTGTTAGAAGGAATTGTCTTGAGTGTGTTGGACATGCTGTGAGAAGGAATTGTCTCGAGTGTGTTGGACATGCTGTGAGAAGGAATTGTCTCGAGTGTTTTGGACATGCTGTGAGAAGGAATTGTCTCGAGTCTTTTGGACATGCTGTGAGAAGGAACTGTCTCGAGTGTGTTGGACATGCTGTGAGAAGGAATTGTCTTGAGTGTTTTGGACATGCTGTGAGAAGGAATTGTCTCGAGTGTGTTGGACATGCAGTGAGAAGGAATTGTCTCGAGTCTTTTGGACATGCTGTGAGAAGGAATTGTCTCGAGCCTTTCGGATATGCTGTGAGAAGGAATTGTCTTGAGTGTGTTGGAAATGCTGTGATAAGGAATTGTCTTGAGTGTTTTGGACATGCTGTGAGAAGGAATTGTCTCGAGTGTGTTAGACATGCTGTGAGAAGGAATTGTCTCGAGTGTTTTGGATATGCTGTGAGAAGGAATAGTCTTGAGTGTTTTGGACATGCTGTGAGAAGGAATTGTCTCGAGTGTTTTGGACATGCTGTGAGAAGGAATTGTCTCGAGTGTGTTGGACATGCTGTGAGAAGGAATTGTCTCGAGTGTTTCGGACATGCTGTGAGAAGGAATTGTCTCGAGCGTGTTGGACATGCTGTGAGAAGGAATTGTCTCGAGTCTTTTGGACATGCTGTGAGAAGGAATTGTCTCGAGTGTGTTGGACATGCTGTGAGAAGGAATTGTCTCGAGTCTTTTGGACATGCTGTGAGAAGGAATTGTCTCGAGCCTTTTGGATATGCTGTGAGAAGGAATTGTCTTGAGTGTGTTGGACATGCTGTGAGAAGGAATTGTCTTGAGTGTTTTGGACATGCTGTGAGAAGGAATTGTCTCGAGTGTGTTCGACATGCTGTGAGAAGGAATTGTCTCGAGTGTTTTGGATATGCTGTGAGAAGGAATTGTCTTGAGTGTTTTGGACATGCTGTGAGAAGGAATTGTCTCGAGTGTTTTGGACATGCTGTGAGAAGGAATTGTCTCGAGTGTGTTGGACATGCTGTGAGAAGGAATTGTCTCGAGTCTTTTTGACATGCTGTGAGAAGGAATTGTCTTGAGTGTGTTGGACACGCTGTGAGAAGGAATTGTCTCGAATGCTTGTAACGACTGGCAGGATTGAGGAAATAATGGAAAGGGGGAGGCAAAGAGATAAAAACGAATGTCTTGGCCGTATGGATGAGACGAGACATAAATGCTGACCTAATCCGTGACTCTCATTGGTGATCATATCAGATCGCGAACCAGAACTGGATATGGCATAATAGCATTTTATTATATCATAGGCACACGGCTTCACTTTCTCTCATTCTACGTACATGTCCAGGCACGAGAGGCACACCCGTATTATGAGAAGTCTTGTTAACCTGCATAGAACTGGGAACTGTCAACCTTGGGACGTAAATGTATATATGGAAGGGTGAACTTGAAATTATATGATTATGTCCTGAATGCTTTTAAAGCAACTTGAACGATAACTCACAATTCATGACACATCTGTTGTATATTTCTGTTTGTAGACTTAATGAGAAGATGACTGGAATGCCTTTAGATCTGTTCGGAGTGCTGTGATGACAAAGTACAGTAATTAAGTAAAGAACCTTTTTCTAAGAAAGAGACAAACACTTTCTTTGGCCACATAATGAGAAGAGAGACATTAAAGAACATCGTGACAATTGGAAAGATCAGTGGCAAAAGGGGTAGAGGCAGACCAAGAGAGATGATGCTGGATGGACTAAAACGAATGCATGGATGGATATCATCAAGAGAGCTGTTTCAGGCAACCAGAGATCGTAATATGTGGAGATGCATGAGCGCCTACGCCAGTTGGCAGGGCACATGATGATGATCCTTTTCCATACCTGCATGCATATTAAGTATATTGTGCTAGACCTATATTTTATTGACCAATCGCCACTCGGTGGCTGATATGGTCGACATCGGTCGCCTTTACTTTCCAAGATGACTTTACATCGCACCCATTTAAGTTTGGGTGGACCTGAAAGCAAAGACCATTTTTTCAAAAACAAATTATGATTCCGTCATTACTTGAACCCACGACCTACGGATCCACAGGCAAGCGTCTAGCCACTACACAGCCGCGGCTGCCGTGATAATAGTCATCATAAATCATTGATCACAACACCATATTGACTCCTTACATCAAACCTGCACAAAGTATGATATGAGAATAAACACCCCGAAAACTGAGGTAATGAGGATTGGCAGAAAACAAAATAGCATGAACGTTCGTGTTAACGGTATTACCATCATACAAGCACGGGAATTCAAATATTTAGGAAGCATATTTACATATGATGGCAGACTTGAATGAGAGACAGAAGCCAGAGTACATAAAACAAATGCTGTCACCTACCAGTCCGAAACCAAAATATCTACCTTCCCCCCAAAAATCAAATGATTATTAGCACCTTTATCGCTACACTATGTTATCAGTGCCAAACATGGACAATAAATAGAGCACTAGAACAGAAAATAACTACATGTGAAATACTCTGTGTCTTCAAGAACAGCATTAAAGAGAAAGTCTGAATAAGGCCCTGTCTGGATTATAACACAGGCAAAGAATGAATTGGTTCATCCATCTAGATGGATAAATGGTGTAGCAGAAACCTGAAAAAAAAAAAAAAAAAACAAAATCCATCATCCAAGCCATCCCAGAAGTGCAAGACAGATACATAAAACTACGTCATTAGGCTACTTCCTAGTGTCAGTAAGACAACAAAAGAAGAAGAAGAATCACTGATCTGTATATAGCATGGTATCATTTCATAATGTCATAAACACATGGCCCCTCTCTCTCTCTCTCTCTCTCTCTCTCTCTCTCTCTCTCTCTCTCTCTCTCTCTCTCTCTCTCTCTCTCTCTCTCTCTCTCTCTCAATCTCTGCGCAATTGGCACACGACATCTCTTTCTCGCATTCTCTGTATTTAGCTTGATCATCATCATCATCATGGATCCCTTTGCCAATTGTAGTGAGCAATCATGCCTTTCCACAGTCTGTGACCTGCAACTGCGTGTATGAGTTCGTGTGTTGAAACTCACCCTTGCATGACAAAAAACTGTCAAGAATCTCTCTGTCCACACATCTATCCTGTTCAAACCAGTCCATAAGCCCACAGACACACGCCGTACCATACTCCCATTTCCTAATTTCACACTATTTGAGTACTATTCTAAATATTTGATGCAATTGTTTAGGTTTTCATTCTGTGCATAAGTAGACCACGAGTAAGATTCCAAGTGGGCAAAACGAGTACATTTATGAGGCAGTACCAAGGGTCATTTTTTTTTTTTTTCAACGGCAAAGATGTTTGAAAGTATCACCCCGCTGAGAATGTGGGTGAGTTCAATTTGTGATTGTGCAGAAAGTGACGTCTTTTGTTAGAAAATACTTCTTGCTCCTCTGAATCAATGCCTACAAAGCTGGAGAGGAAATAAATGTGTGGAATATTATTCATATTATTTTTTCAATAAATTATAAAATAATGTATGCATACATGAATGCTTAAAAAAGGAACGTCCATACACTTCAGTTCCCCACACTCTTCCCCCTGAGCTCCAATCCTCTAGAGCCGCCAGGTGAAGTTATGTAAAATTAATGACTTATGTTTATGAAACCTTATTTTACCCTATGCTAAAACACTCAGAATCACTTCCAAACTACGCATAATTTTAGGTAACATTCATCATAAGATTTGTAAATGAGACAATTCAATTTAAAACATTTGTATTATAGAGGAGCCGACATAAAGAAAACAATGGGAGGAGATTCCTTTTACCGATTTTCGGTGAGGGGGTGGGGGGGGGGGGCTCTTAAGTAGTTTAAGCTACCAGGTTGTAGTGCCCCTGCTTCTATGCATATTTTATTGAAAGGAAAGGGGAGGGGTGGGGGGGGGGGGGGTTCCAAGGCTCTTAGTTCTGTAACCATACAAAGTTTTCAAAAATAAACATACCCAGGCTGACTCCTTCGTTTTTAGAGATATTGGTTAAACCGTAATCCAACAGATGGTGATTTGATTTTATTTCTTGACTATGCACAACATGAGCCTCCCGTATTTTAGTTTATCTTAGACTTCCTCGTTTACTGAACCCGTCAATGTCCCATTTCAGTGCATGACTGATGATTCTCTTAATTTTAGTAGCCAAAAAAAAAATGTGTACACTGTGTGGAATCTAGAACTGGATCATGGTCCGAGGTGGAGTGGTAGGAGCCTTCCCATAGAGTATTTTGCCCATTGATAGTCTTCTTTGCCGCCTTAGCGCCCCTTTGGAGTGACAGGGCAATGAATGGGAGTGTGATTCAGTGTTAAAATTTGGAATCTTTGCAGTCCCCCAAATATGACTAATAAAGCAATAACCTTCTCTGACGCCCCTGTCTTACAGTCTACGTTTCGGTTGTAATAAAAACAAAATGTAATTTTTAAAAATATTCTAAGAGATGAAAATAGAAAACGAAGTCAGTGAGATATAACTCCCGCAAAAGTTTACTCCCACTGATTGTCGTAATAAATAAAAGAAAGACACAAAACCTGGCCGCCAATGTGACTGTTAAATTAAACGTTAGAGGCATGAAAGTAATTGGACTTATGTAACGGCCATAGCTTGGGAGTAGTTAACAGTTCATTTTTAGTAAACACGCGAAGTCAACAGAGGGTTTGCGAATAATAATATATATATATATATATAAACATAATCATGGCATACAATATATTACTCCAGATATAATGACTATTTATCACTATTTTGCTTGGTTTGTTTTATCATTGCTTAATAAACGGATTTAAAATGATGATGATGATGATGATGGTGGTGGTGGTGGTGATGATGATGATCATAGTAATAATAATAATGTTTCTACTTCTTCGCGATCATCGGATGCACAAGCCGACCGAAACTTATGGGATTTAGTCTGGTCTCGCAGAACATGGGTTTTGCGCGCACATCCATTTTACAGGTCTGGCTTATTTGTATGCAGACCCTTAGTTCCATGTCTCTAAGGCATATGCACTCTGACTTCAGAAGCCCCTAATTAGTCGACACTTGGGAAATGCTTGTTAAGGAGCAGTCGGCCTGTTTTATTTTGTCCGCCTACACTGGAAACTCGAAACTCACACGCGGAATGGTAGCAGTAATAATAAAAACAACAACACCAACGCCAACAGTAATAACAACAACACCAACGCCAACAGTAACAGCAACAACACCAACGCCAACAGTAACAACACCAACACCAACAGTAACCACACCAACGCCAACAGTAACAACAACAACACCAACGCCAACAGTAACAACACTAACGCCAACAGTAACAACAACAACAACAACAACAACAACGCCAACAGTAACAACAACACCAACGCCAACAGTAACAACAACACCGACGCCAACAGTAACAACAACAACACCAACACCAACAGTAACAACAACAACAACCCAACGCCAAAGGTAACAACAACAACACCAACGCCAACAGTAATAACAACAACCCTACGCCAAAGGAAACAACAACAACCCAACACCAAAGGTAACAACAACAACCCAACGCCAACAGTAACAACAACAACCCAACGCCAACAGTAACAACAACAACCCAACGCCAACCGTAACAACAACAACAACAACGCCAACAGTAACAACAACAACCCAACGCCAAAGGTAACAACAACAACACCAACGCCAACAGTAACAACAACAACCCAACGCCAAAGGTAACAACAACAACACCAACGCCAACAGTAACAACAACAACCCAACGCCAAAGGTAACAACAACAACGCTAATAGTAACAACAACACTTCAAATAAAACGGTTCTAAATTGCCCCAAATAACTATCCCTTAGATCGCCGTATCTGTTGGACTTGGAGCCGTTGCTATAGCTCTGATGGCTGTTGTGATCCGTTTGAAAATCTCGTAAGTATAAACAAAAATGTGAAAACACTAGTCATCGCTGTTTGGTTTGTTAGTCAATTAGCTAATTAGCTAGCTGAGTGTCTAGTTAAATGGTGAGTTCATTAGGTATTTAGTTAATGAGTCAATTTAGTGTGTATTTGTTTGTTTGGGTTGGGGGGGGGGGGGGGTGGGGTTGGGTGCAGTTAGTTAATTACCTTTTCACTCAGTCAGTAAATCAGTACGTCAGTCAGGTAATTCGGTTGATAATTAGTTAGTTACTTACTAAGCCAATCAGTTGGTTGGTTATTTATTTATTTATATAGTTAGTCAGTTAGTTTAGCTAGTTAGCTGGCTAGTTAGTTAGTTAGTTAGTTAGTTAGTTAGTTAGTTAGTTAATTAGTTAGTAAGTTAGTTAGTTAGTTAGGTAATTTATCTAGTTAGCTAGCTAGTTAATTAGTAAGTAAGTCGGTTAGTTTTATTGAGAAATAGAACATTGAAAGCAAGAGCCACCCACCCATAGAGCCCTGTGGTTACTAAACATTTTCACCCCCATGTTGCTTTTCAGAGTGTATGTTATTAAACAATGCAGGGGCAGGAGAATTACCCCCACCCCCTCCTTTCTTCTTACCTACGCCTTCCCCCATTCCCACCCCCACCCTAAATTTTAGGAAAGATCAGATGACTTCCCTAAATCATATATACGAGAGTAGTTCTCTTTTTTTTCTTTCTTTTTTTTTTTTTATACGTACATAATTCAAAAATACTATATACTTGTTGCCATCCAGCCCATTGTTATATCTACTATTATCATTATTAGGCACATATACTACCTCTTCTTTGTTAACCGGCAGTAAGCTTAGGCGGAAAGTCCCGGTTGTTTGCCCATGTTGCCTTTGCCTTTGTGCCATGCCCTAAGTTTTGCGTTTACATCCGTTTTACTGGCTCATTTTTGTGCAGTTGATTGTTACTTGCCGCTGGGGCATACGCACTCTGACTTCGAAAACAATTTGCCCATTAGTCGACTCCAAAGACATACTTGTTGAGTAGGCAGTAGGTCTATTCTTGTTTCTCCCCACAATGAGGCCCCATAACCCACATGGGGAAAGACATATATACAAAGCTTAGACAGCTTGATCTATTGTTTAATTGATTCGTTTGTAAAACAAAAATAACAAAGTTTACCACATTCAATCTACTGTGAGTAGCTTTGATTAAAGTTGTGGTCTGGTTTTTTTTTTTTTTTTGTAATGCAAAATGTATCGGCTAAGCCGATTTTTATTTGTACCCAGCGTGCTGGATTGTAGCAATTAATGGCAAATTGTCCCTACTAGTGCGTTGCATGTCCGGATCATGTGCTATATTCATCGGTTTTGATTATATTACGCATCTTGAGCCCTCCCTATCCTCTAAGAATGTGTAAGCAGGTAGATCCCCTGTCACAAGACGGTGTTGTCGCATGTCCAAATTATATCAGGCGTGCAAGACACTGTGAAATGGCAAAGTGATGATGGCTAGTTTTGGTCTAGGCGGCAAACCTGCGACTCCAACAACCATCCAACACCACTCCACAGATGAGGTAGCTCAAGTGATTGGCACCAAAAAACTTCCAGTGCACAACTTGGTTGGACGCCCTCACCACTTTCTAAGCTCCCAGATGGATAGTTTTACTATCTCAGTCAAAACACAGTACTAAGAAATATGACTGAATAACACCCACACAGAACGAAGAACAAAACTGAATGAACCTTGAAAAACAAGATATCAACAAAGTCCCTTTAAAAATAACAACGCACAATGTAATCAGATAATAACAAATATAAGAAATCTTTAGTTGACTGACAATGAAGAAAAAAAACACAGGAAAGTAATAAGACAAAAATAATGTCTCTGATAACCAATACTGTCTCCTGGACAAAGTCCCTTTGGCAAACAGTTTTCAGATAGCTGTAACCTCAAGTCCAAGCGTGTTTACTTATACGGCAGTTGCAAACAATACTTGCATGTACCCCCCCCCCCCCCCCCCTTTTCCCCGCGAGTCACAAGGTAGAATTTCACAAGTGCTACCTGACACTTTTTACAAACATAGTGTTGCTCAGGTTCGCTGGGCAGAAGAAACTAAATGAATAGTTTTTATGAATACAGATAAAGTTACTAGCTTTATGTCACAGATTGTAAACCCAGTATGGGTTTTGAACAGCCATATTCTTTACTTTTGTTCAACTATTTCATTACTTTGCATTTAAAGATGTGGCAAGCCACCAAAACATTTGCATGCATAGCGTATGTTTCCAGCGTCACTAATAAAAAGAGTAATTTTCTAAATGACTTCAGTTAGTTGTCATGTGCAGCCCTCGTGACAACACAGGAGTGACCCATCCGGCCCTAGGGGGATCCTCAGTTCGACAAGCCGAAGGTAGACCAACAGCTCGTCTCATTCTGTAAAGACTGTGGATGCCCGCTCTACTAACATATGCTATACTGTTCCTCTTTTCTTGGGATTTCGTGGGGGAAATCAAGGGAAAGTCTAATAGCATAGGGACGTTAGGGTGTGAAATTAACAGCAACTAACACTAACCCTAGCTTAACCCTTCCCCTCCCCATAATATTGGACTTTCCCAGGAATACGTCATTTAAACTCGGAGGCCTCTAGATGAGGTGAAATAAAATAAAAGAACTGAATTTTCAATAAAGTAACCCATGGTTAATTGATACAGTGTTCGAACCATGAGCAGAGGACAATAAAAAGAATAAAAATCCCGTTATGCGGCTTAACCGGTTTGGACGGCAAAAAGTACACACCCATTTCCAAATATGACGGGCAATAAATGATACTTTTCGATGTTAGCAAATTGTTGTTCAAATTTACTACAATGAAAATAATTGCTTTGATAATATCACAGAAAAGGGGGGGGGGGCGTAAACGATTTGCGTGTATACGGGATAGTAGGTAACGATTAAACTGAAGAGAGTATCACGTGAGACTTTCCTCCTCGTTGCTGTGTCGTTTAGAGTATGCGTTCACAGCATGTATTATAGTGCTGGTAACTAGTAGCTTTGGCATGTTAGTTTCTGCATAAGTGGTGTAAGAATGCAACTAGCCTTCTTGTAGCTATGTTGGTACTAATCACGAAAGTCATCCTATCTCGTGAGATTTCATAGCCGTTCCCAAAGGCTGTCCTAAGTTCTAGGAGTGTTATGAGATGCCTTCCTTCGCCGTCTATGTGCACCATGACGAAAACTGGCTCGCGTTCGTTCGACCAGTCGACACACTATCTCTAGGACGAAACTGCGCAGCTTTCTATGAGCAATAGTCTTTTGTGTGAACGACTGTCGTTCGTCGAGTGTGTTATTATTGCGATAAGGCCGAAGGAGACTATTACAAGGAAGAAGTACTTCAGAAGGAATCGTGGACGGTGTGACGCATCCTAAGTATCGAATTATTAATGTTTTTGTATTATTACGCTCGTTGGCGAAGGTTGTCGTCGGTGGTGGATTTGCTTAAAACGTTCAAAAAGAGAAACAAGTGACACCCCTAGACTACAGGAGTAAAACCCCCACGAAATCACGCGGCCGAAGAGATGGGGTGACTTTCGTGAATGGTACCGCTATGTTTATACTCTTAACAAGCTTTCTGTGTTCGGAGACGTAAATCAAGTTTTATTCGTAATAAATAATCAACAGTATTAATAAAAGTAAAATAATTAATTTTTCTTTCGAAATGGAAATGTAAGGGTGGTTACAGTCGTTACATGCAAGGTTCGCCCATGTAAAGTCATGACGCTTATGGCTTAGTGTTTTTGTGTGTGTGTTTAATTTTTTTTTAAAACAGAGAGTCGAATTGTGAGGCAGGGAATGCATTTTGGAGATCTCAACCCTTCTTCAGGACCAAAGAGGAGCAGGCGGAAGTCGAGAAGCAGGTAGCCAACCATTTTGTTGTTTCTTACTTAGGTTTCTGTGGAGAGTAATTTCTATTCCTAGTCTCCTATGCTGATAAAGTGAAATGCAACTTCCACGAGTGTAGTCCCTGGATCTCTCCCACATCAGATATGTCTGGTCATTTGCCTATCCCTAGTGAGAACGTAAATGACAGTAATAACAATAATTACAAAGAAAAGGCACCCTCCAAAATGCAGCATTCAAGTTAATGGTACAAACCTCAAGCAAGTTGATACGTTTATTAAGTACTTGGGTACCCTGATAACAGCAGATGGAAGATGCGTTTGAAAAGTTAAATGTATAATACCTCTAACAATGGCAGCATTATACAAAATGAAGACTACTTTATGCAATATTTCTTTGTCAGTTGAGACGAAAAAATAATTCTGAGGAGAATTCTATATGTCCTATCTTGATATATGGAAGTGAATCATGGATAGTTCGCCGATTAACAAAATAGTGTGTGTAAGCGGCGAAGAAATGGCTTTTAAGACGAATATTGAGAACATCTTGGACAGATAAAAGAGTAATAGAGATGTCAGGAAGAGAACTGATTACACACATCAGGAGACAATCTACATTCTTTGGCCATGTGATGAGATGGAGAAAACTTGGGTACATCGTGACAGTGGGGAAACTTAGACGGCAAAAGAAGCAGAATGAGACACTGGAGCATGATGTCAGCAAACACAACATCAAAAAAGTATAATCCTTATTATAGTATTATTCGTAATATTATAATCATTATACACATTTCTGACGGCTGCCTTATGCATGTTATGCGTGTGTATGCTGTTAGATTTGTTAGGAAGGCTCTCTGTGTCAATTACTTTTTTTTTCAAACAAGAGACATTAATGGGCATTCCGTGCAGGAATTGAGCAGCTATGGGGGTCGTCAGTTTGTTTTGATTTTATAACTGTGTTCACCTGATTACCTGATAATAATCATCAAACCATCACCTAAGCCCCTCGAGAAAGGCAAGACAAACATAGAAAGCCGCGACATTGGTTCTTCACCAATAACCAAAAGAATAAAATTAGGACCTGTTCCTGTTTCCCGATCCATCTACACACTGTCTCTATTCTAGGTCAGTGGGGTGTCAAACTGAACTGCTTTCTTCGTTTGGGTTAGGGCCTAAATGTTTTAGGGTCGTTGAAAGCTGTGTCGTCGTGTAGTGTGGAACAAGCGACTTCGGAGCTGGTGTAATTGGAGGCGGGGCAACATAAATCCCCTCCGACGTAGAAGAGTCTGAGAAAATATAAATGAAAAGTCAGCCAGTGTGTAGACGGGCCAGGAAACGTGAAATGGACCAAAAATTATAATGTTTTAAACTTTGGCAAGGTAGACAAAGGCATTTTGTTTAGTAGATCGTAAAAAAAAAAAAAAATGTATGTATATTAAATCTTTCAGTTCTAGAAAATCATAGCCGAAGTGCGGTTGTGAGAGAAATGACAATTATAGGTGTACTACATTCCCAAGAACGATATAGCCTATCCCGCAAAATGTAGGAGACAAAATTGGTGCCCTGACTAAACCTAAAACACAGAAACACGCATAAGATATTTTCACGGTTGACTGTAATATGGTGTTTTGACTTCTACTTAATGAATAAACTGCTTGACACTGTTTGATTTCAGTTCCCAGCTTTGAATGTTAACAACGCCTGCTGCGTGTCGTGAGTATTTAGCTACATTCTTTCCAAATGGCATATTTACTAGTGTTCTTGTCTGTCAAGACAGTTGTCAATGCTCAAAAAACTCTGTACTTTGAATTATGAACTGTGTTCACAACAACCTCTAAATCATAAAAGCTGTCTTGGGTGAATCAAAACACAAATAGAATAACATGAAAGTAGGCTCAGCCTAAAATGGTATCAGGAAATTACACAAAAGTAAAGGCGACCGATGCGATGTTAATTACATCATCCACTGCTAGGCAGTCTGTAATATTATAGGGCTGGCACTTTATGCCACACGAACCATCGAAGAGGAAGAAGTGGTTCTCAAACAATAAATAAATCTGTGTAAAACCATCTGTCTTTGTTACCTTCCTCGCAGTTTCAATAAGCCTCATTTTGAGAACTGCTGTTTTAGAATCCTCCTATGCATGTTTTGTGAGGAAGCATTTTCTCCTTTTTGGGGGGGGGGGGGAGGAGGGAGGGTAGATTATCTCATTATAATAAATTATTTATTACCATTCGATTACTGAGCATATGTGAACTAATCCAGTGTCAAATTGAGGCAAGCGTCAACTTTGTGCAGGTTGGTTGAAGCATGCCAACCAAAGAATGAGTGAGAAAACGTTTGAAGTTTGTTCACCAGGAAAAAGAAGAGCCTATTTAAGCCATTAGAGAATGAGAGAGTCTAGTCTTCTTTTCGATCCGGCAAGAGAGTTGTTTCATGGCGCTCTGAATTGATGAAACAGTTTCCGTTGGCAACAGTTGACCAAATTAACCAACGCATCATGGAGATGGAGGACCCGAACTTCTATAACTCAGAACTGCAGGATGATGATGTTTTTTGGTCATCACCAGAGGAACCACATCGACAGCCAAAATTTGAAGTCAAACGAGGTCGACACCGTTAACCCAAACACTAATACCAGATACGACACAACCAAGGCCAAATTACCGAAACCCTATGTAGGAGCAGTACTTTACAACAAGGATACGAGAAAATCACCAAATAATACCAGACCTCAGCAGTATAGCCATCAGTACCTGCCCAAGTCAATCGACTGCCGGTTCTTATTAGGATAGGCAATCTACTTTCCCCGGAAACAACAAACAGCCAAGGAATACCACAATAAATCGATCCAACATCCAATCATCTTGAGCGCAGCACAGGGCCAGCCAGATTACAAAAACAACAGCAAGAGCGGAAACCACAACAAACAGAAAGTGACAATATTGAACACAATCCAGAATCAAATAAGATCGCGACCAGAAAACGTCACCACAAATATAGCTGAAAGGAAAGTGAGCAGAAATGTGAACGGACCTAGCTGAAAGTGGTCAAAGAAAGAGAATTTGAAATTGAATTTGCCTGGGGTGAATGCGTCTCGAGATTGTGGGAATGCAGTTGAGCCACCAGCCTGTTCCATAGACGAAACCGTGGTATGACTTCATGACAGTCTGAAATGGAAGCAATGTTACTTGCTGTGAGATGTATATTCGTTGATTGCAGTTTGGTGACAATCTAGAAGTGCAGGGACAGTAAAAGTACTGAACGTGAGAAACCAACCAAGGTAACGATAGTCATTAAAATGGGTGATGCAGTAGAGATTACCTAGACCAGTATTTCCCAAACTTTTCTTAGTCGCGGCCTCTTTTTTCAAATAAAATTTTTACGCGGCGCCCTAACCTAAGCAATGCAGACACTGTCCTATAGAAGAGACACTAAAACTGTGATCCAGATGGAGAAGTTTAATAGTATGCAGTCACACCCAATGAATGAAAGGTTAGATGATCTGGCATTGGGGCGTCTCAAACGTAGCAGCTTTGTCCATCGGGGGAAAAGACTTAGAAGACAGTATCAAGCAGATCTACCTTTTAGAACAACACCTCTGAAACCTACCCTATACACTGTACCCTGGGAGCAAGTCAGTGATACAATACAGATAATGACTACAGTCAATGGATTCACAACTGGAGATGAGTCCAATGGTCTTCAAAAAAAAAAAAAAGAACAGCTATTCGTATATAAGATCAGAACAAATAAAACTCGTGTATCTTCGAATATTTCGCGCGCCCCTGTGAAGAGGTCGCGGCTCCCTGGGGCGCCGCGGCGCACAGTTTGGGAATCACTGCCCTAGACAACAAACTTCTGGTACCTTGATCGTTAGGAACTTCATTTGAGTAAACATTCAGTTGTCAACTCGTTAGTGTTCTCCGAGTTGGTTCCTGTTCAAGACCCGCCGTATGGAAGTATCTGTCTATGTGCGTGAGCAGGCTGCATGATTAGAGCCAAGGGTAGTCATTGCATACGTCTACGTTTGAAACTTTAGGAAAAGCGAGAACTACTCTACAATCAGAAACAATTGTGAAATTAGCAACTGGCTTTCAGTCAGAAATGTTATAATCATAACTATGCTGTAATTAGATACGAGAAGCAGAAACTAGACTAAGATCGGACACACTAAAATTAGAAACTGTAATGCAATAAAAAATAATACTACAGTTTGAAACTATATAAAATCAAAAACCATCCTAGAGTCAGACAATATAGTAGAGTCAGGAACTCTAACTGTATCACAGACAACATCAGAATCAGAAACTATAAAAGGATTATAAATTTAACTACAATCATAAGCTATAATAGCGTCATAAAAATCAGCAGCTACACGTGAATCATAATTATACTTGTTTATTTACAGATCAACTAAACAAGAAATGATACATTCAGCCTTGACGATAAACAACATAAATGTAACTGTTCTTCAAAATATTAACTCCTCACAGTTCCAGTATTTTCCGATTGAGACTTGCCGGTAAGAATGTTATCTTTTATATTTGTGACATTCAAGAGATACGTACGTTCGTTTTCGTTGAGTAAGTGCAGTGTGTGTGCGAAGCAATTCTTTCTCTTAGTTTTCTTGGCGTTCTTTTTTTTTTCCACCTCATGTGTCCCACCCAGAAATGCTACTATCTATTTGTACCTGTCCCACTCGTCCATATTGTCCATTGATACCAGCTAAGTGATTTTGTGTATTTGTATAGTATTGTTTGATTTGTATGTGCTGATGATGGCTCTATTGCCGCAACGTTCACGTTTTGTTTGTACTCGTTATATTGTGAGCTTGCTAATATACTTTTCGTTCGGTTTTATATCTGTTCTTGATATTTTTAAAGCTTCACAGCCGTTCATTAATCTCACACACCTCGTGTGTCCCACCCGATCAGAACTGCTACTATCTGTTTGTACCTGTCCCACTCGTCCATATTGTCATTTGATACCAGCTAAGTGACTGTGTGTATTTGTGTAGCATTGTTTGATTTGTATGTGCTGATAAAGGCTCCATAGCCGCAACGTTCACGTTGTGTTTGCATTTTTTATATTGTGAAGCTTGCTAATATACTTTTTGTTCGGTTTTATATCTTCTCTTCTTTTATCGTCTCACTGATACCAGGCTGAGTGTCGTGGTTCTCTGTATTTGTCTTGCGGTTATCAGTGACTTGGGTAAAGATTGTGTCCATCTTTTTGCAGGTTTCAGCTACAGCATTCTTCTTTTTCGTGGCTTTCCCTTCTCCATCCTTCCAGATGTTCTTAGCGTTCACCAGGTGTAAGCTCCGGTGGAAGTTTCTAGTTGTTCGTCCACTTCTGGGACTGTAGTCTTCTTCCAAACCATTTTTTGGGGGGCGTGCAATTCCGTTTTACAGATTTTGATTATTTGAATGTAGAATGTTGGTTTCTCGCTTATCCGTCCTACACCATCCTCATCGTGGTTCGTAAATGCTGTAAGGATAGTTTTGTATTATGTACACTGTGGGTTGTTGTTTGGTTCAGTAAATCAGTAATTTATTATTTTTTTGACTAAGAACAGAGTATGTCGTTGCCTTTTAGATTATATACGTGTAGCGTTTGTTTTCTCACCATACCTTTTCAATATAATGAGAAATGTCAAAAATGACCAGACGTGACAGTTATGATCCGCTCAAAATTGGTGGCAACCCTATTCCGGAACTTCGCTACGCAGATGACCACAGTCCTCCTTTCGAACAGCGTAAAGGGAATAGAGAATTTAATATAGTCTGTCCAAAAGCACAGTGAAGATCAAAATCTGTTCTTAAATTTAAAGAAAACGAAAATAATGTCCACAGATAAAACTGGCTGTCACCCAAAAATAACAATAAATGATGAAGAAATTGAAAATGTCACAAACTTTGAATATCTAGGCTCTATAATCAAACATTAATGGAGACTGTTCTACAGAAATTAAAAGGAGGATGCCATAGCAATGCAAAGATTGAACAGCCTTAAAAGTCTATGGTTAAGCACCAGCAAGGAGATCAAAATTAGAATTTTGAGAGCATGCATCTTCCCCGTGACTACATACGGATGTGAGTCGTGGACTATCTCTCAGTCCTTAAGAAAGAGAATAGGGGCTTTTGAGCTGAAATGCCATAGAAAGATTCTCAGAATATCTTGGACAAAGAAGATGAGAAATATTGACATCTTAAAAGATCTTATCATCAAGGAAGATTGGCAAATAAACAGCATCTTTTCTCGAAAACTGAAATATTTTGGTCATATCAAGCGCCACGAGGGATCGGAAAAAAATTATAGCAGACACGAAGATGGGCACAGGATATAAGTGACTCACTGAGTGTGAAAGTGCATGAGGCGAGAGAACTGGCGAGAGACCGAGTTTCTTTTAGGCAGACTGTGATGAGAGCGACGTTCTGCAAAGGACCTGCTACATGATGAGTTTTTGTTTTAGCTTGCGTAGTTACGTAACTAAATACGTTGATGTTCTTTTGAGCTGGTTGAGTAAGTATATCGTGTGTAAATGATTCTTTGGTTGAGTAAGTTTAGCGTGTGATGTTGTTTATTCGGTTATGTATGCCTAGTGTGTCTAATTTTTCTTGGCTAAGACGGATTATATACACACACACACACACGCACACGTATATATATATATATATATATATATATATATATATATATATATATATATATATATATATATATATAAAAGATCAAATGAAGAGGCTCTGTTTACGCCAACGTAACCCCACATTCCTCCTCGAACAGTCGCCCTACTAGATAAGATGCTTCCTCTCGTAGGAACTGGTATACTTCCTCCGTCAGTTCGAACAGGTGTGCAAAAATATCCCCTCTTGATAACCATCACACTTCTATTGGTAAGAGGAGATGCTTGCCATGTGAGTCTATACTCTCACATATTGTCGTTGCGGCCAATCTAGGCCACTTGTAAAGAAGCTATGTCACACATCTACTTGGACGTTTGCACATTGCTACTTGCACTGTTTTTAATATCTAGAAGTAACAACACAAAACCGCTCTGACTTTCCTTCATACATTCTATCAGGTTTTTTCCGACAATTATTCAGACACAGTGATCACTGTTCGCTTCACACAATGTTGCAACACTTATCATTCACTCGACATTGACACTACATCTTGGAATATGACAACTGTCTTCTTCGACTTCTGGTGCGCAACTGACAACGAATCAATCAGGGGCTTTCCTTCGTTTACAGCTCCAGCTCCAGCTTCAAGTATCTATCTCGTGCGGTCGTTTGTCGCACGTGTTTGCTACGTGACTTGCTGTGAGCGTGGAGACCGTGCAAGCTAAGCAGGGTCATCACAGTCGCGAACATCACTGAGTTTAAAGCTTGACTGCGAGTGTATTATCTTCATTCATCTCACTGTTTAGTTCAGTGCAGAAGCTTCCGCGAGTTGCTCGCATTGGAGCAAGAGCAATACTCTAAATCAGTGATTCCCAAACTCTGTGCCGCGGCGCCCCTGGGAACCACGACCTCTTTACAGGGGAGCAGCGAAATATTGTAAAAGCTTCTTAAATAATTTAACCAAGACACGATTAGTCATAGTTTAGGGCGCAGTGGGAACATTTTAATTGAAAAAAAAAAGGGCGCCGCGACCAAGAAAAGTTTGGATAACACAAAATAGTTTTTCTCTTCACATTCAGACAATTGACTCCACTTGCATTAATATTTTTACACTATTGTATTTTCTTTTTTTTTCTCTTCACAGTCAGGTTCCTGACTGTGACTGCAAGTGTGGCTGTGAACAACGGGAGTTTTTATTTACTGCATATGTACAATATCCTCCTCCTATGCATGACACCAACTTTAGCCTTATCAAGCTTCGTGCAATTTGTAAATGTGTAAACGGTTTACCATAACATGTTTCTGAATGTGTTTAATCATTGTAAATTGTATCAGTGGTCTGACATAACATGTTTCTGAATGTGTTTTTTCATTGTAAATTGTATCTGCGGTCTGACATAACATGTTTCTGAATGTGTTTTATCATTGTAAATTGTATCAGTGGTCTGACATAACATGTTTCTGAATGTGTTTAATCATTGTAAATTGTATCTGCGGTCTGACATAACATGTTTCTGAATGTGTTTTATCATTGTAAATTGTATCTGCGGTCTGACATAACATGATTCTGAATGCGTTTAATCATTGTATGTGTTTCATTGACCTAACATAACTTATTTACGACAGTATTTTGATCACAGGGAATTATACATTTTAAATGTATCTTTGAATGAAAATAATTCTTAATGCTACAAAGATCCAGTTTCAACTTTTATCTCTCTACTGGGTATCTCACCAGCTGTTGATTGGTTTGTCCTCAGAAAGCAATTTCGTTTTTGTTGTTGTTATTAGTTTACTCTATCTCAGACTCCTTTTTAATATAATAATTCTAAGCAAGTCTGTCTTTGTCAGCTGTCAGAAATAGAACTCTCACTGATTGCTGATTTAGGAATCGGCATTGTCGCACACAGGGCATTCACTTAGATGCTCCGTCTCTCTCAGCAAATGTCTTAACTGTTCCCAGAGCACACTGGTTATAAACTTGTCGTTTACCTATTCTCATACGCCCTTCCTTGCCTGATCAATACCTTTTTTCTCGTTCACAATTTCGTACATATACTGTTTCATCTAACTTCGTCTCTTCTATCAGTGTTAGCTCATAAATGGTAATTCTTCCATTACCTGTGTTTCTGTAGCTATCGCTTTTGTAGCCAGAAAATCCTCTCTTTTATTTCCTCGGACTCAGAGAGCTAAAAGGCAATATAAATTATATTTTTATATACGGAAGCGTATCATGGACAGTTGGCAAATTAGTGAACCGTTATATTTAAGCGGCGGAAATGAATAATAACGAATAATGAAAACACATTAGACAGATAAAAAGAGTTTCAAGATGTCGCGAAAGAAACTGACTAACAAAGAAAACTGATTACTCACATCAGAAAAAGACAATCTAAATTTTTTGGTCCTGTCACGAGACGGAGACAACAGGCGTACATCGCGACGGTGGTAAGGTTGGAGGGCAAGAGAGGCAGAGGGAGACCGAGAGAGAAGTTGATGGACAGTTTGACACCATGGCATGGAAGATCGTCTGTGTCAGAGCAAATTAAACGTACAGGAGACAGAAGGTTGTGTATAGACAAGACTGTCAGCAGCGTGGACTATAAGAAGAATAATCCCAACTTCTAGCTTTCACGTGTGTCTGTGTGTGTGTGTTCGGGCTGATAGTGTTATTTTGTTATCGTATTTCAACTCTTGCACAAGTTGCTTTACACTAAAACTTCTAAAGATAAAAAACAGTTCTTTACCATTATTATGTCAAGCAGAATTATTGTGGAACATAACGATTTCAACACAAACATCTGTACCAATTCATCCGTCAAGACGAGTTTCAGTTAGCTTTCCCTAATGTTGAAGAGATATTACAACTATTTTTGGGTCTTATGGTCAGAAAGTG